CTACAATACACGGAGTAAGAAGTAAGAGTAAGAAATTGATCGCAGTCGAATGTGAGAAGAATAATCGATTGATTAATTTCTTACTCTTATTTCTTACTCCGTATATTGTAGACGATGCATTAGAGTTAAACAATTTAACTCAAAGGAATGTTATAAATTTGACTCAAATTTAGTTTTTTATTTACTAAGTTTTTACTTACATTACTATGAGTGTTATTTACTTCGAAACTAATCACAGGAATGAATTGATGATTTATACAATTAAAACGATTTAAGCAAAATGTTTGAATAATAATATTGTTCTTTTAATATCTAACAATGTAAAAATGATAATATTTTCGATTGGAACATTAATTTTAACAATTAAAATATCATTATTATGCGATATAAATAAGAAATATTTCAGCATGTTTGATTTTATTCTTCGTGAGGATCGTAAAATCGCGTCTCATGGTATTTTTATGTTAAAATAATTTTTGTAATTTCGTGCACTTGTAATTTTTGGCGTTTATACGCGCTATAATTACGCGCCTCCGTAAATTTGCTTTGCGTCAAGAGAAAGACAGAAACAGAAGAGGACGAGATCTTCCCAGTTTTTTTTTTCCGTTGAGCTCGAAATCGATGAATGACATACAGTTAATCGGGCCGACCGCTCCAGTTGGCGAAAACAAAAGCTGCAAGGCCTCATCTGCATGAAGGGCAGGAAGCCTAGCGCTAAAAAAAATAACAGCCCATCACAACGGTGATAAAACAATGATAAAACACATTCACTATTCTTCGCGAATGTATATCCGCGGTGCATGGCCGAGATAGGAAGCGGAAGTGACACGAAGATAGTCATTAGCGTTTTCGCGCCGAATTATTCCCATGCACGAACAATTTTACTACCACGGATAATCACTTGAGAGAAAAATGAATTGTCGTTCTTGATATCATTTATTTGAGTGTACTCACGGGTGAATACAGGGTATCTGGTAAGTTTTGATAAGCGCTCGTGTGTATATAGAGCGGACTAAACTGAGTTGAAAAATCCTATATCATTTTGCAATTTTCGCAATGGATAGTTAACAAGATACTAATTACTAAAAATCGCTGAATTTCAGTCTTAAATAATTTTTTTACTCAATTACTATCAACTTTACAGACAAACAGCGCAAGAGACAAAAATTGTTTATTTTTCATAAAGTTCTGAGAATTTTTTCAGAATTTTTTAATATAATATCATATTTTCTCATGTTGGTAAAAATGAGAAAATGCAGTACTAAAAAATTGATAAAAAATTCTGAAAAAATTCTTAGAGTTCTATAAGAAGAAAATAAACAATTTTTATCTTTTGCAGTTTTTCTGTAAAGTTGATTAGTATTTGAGAAAAAAATTATTAAAGACCCAAGTTCGACAATTTTTAGTAATTAATATCTCGTTACTTATTGCGAAAATTGCGAAATGGTAAAAGATTTTTCATCTTAGTTTAGTCCGCCCTATTCACACATGAGCATTTTGTTAAAACTTACCAGACACTCTGTATAAGTAGATTTGACTTTTTAGACTGAAAATTTTCAATTCACGTCCGAAACGATTATAAACGATTATTACTAAATGTCAAAATCTATTTAATATGAAATATTAAAATAACTAATATCGTGTTATAAAAATAATTAAATCAAGATCTAAAATCTCAAGTCCCGTTTATGGTGGTCTTTACATAATTGATTTAATCATATACTATATATAAGCGGTCTAACTTAACTTATTATTGCACGTTACATTAAATTAATATATTCGATTAAATATTCGACGTCATAGAAACTAGTTTTAACACAAATATAAAATGTATGTATTTAAAGAAGGTTTCAAAGTTTGGAATTACTCTAGAAATTTCAGTTTACTTTTATAATTGACAAGTGAAAAATGATTTAGAAATAAACTCAATTTGTCAATCAACTTGTTCCATTATCGAAAAACAATGAAAGGGAAGGGAGAAAAATGTGAGGAAAATCGATGTAAGAAAATGTCGTATGCAAAGAATTCGTTGGGAAGTAATTAAAAATTACGTAGCGCTCCTGGAAGATTATGGTTTCGGCGAGAAAAATGGTGAACGTGAGGAATCGCCTTGGGAAGTGTCACGAGCGCTTAACTTTTCTTTTCATGGCCGAGTTTGTTTCGTCTTTAAGAGGCCGAGCGGAGTTTTCACGGCGATATAGCAGCGTACGGGAAACCGGAAGGGTGTGAGAATCGTAATTGAGAGTCGACGCCCTTAGGGACTCCGAGGCCTCGTACACTACAAGCTTTTCCAACCTTGGCGCTTGAAATTACGCGATCCTTCGATTACGGAATACGTAAAACGCGACGTTAGAATTCCTATTTGCGTTCGGGGATCATTGCGCGTTTATACGCGCGGAACAAGTGCCATCTGAATTTCTAGGGCAAACTCGTTGCGACGAAGAATTGATATTTCCCGCTTCGCCAAAAGTATAATCCGATCTATTTCCCATTGGCATTTTTATCATTATTGTTATTCTCATCGTAACGCGAGTGCCAAGGGTAATGTTTGCATATTAATAACTAAATATCCTCCCTTGTACAAACAAACTGTTATTCGTTAGACAAACATTTGCCAAACCCCAGGCAGGAATATATTTCTAACCGATTAATTCTGTATCGTCGATGAAATTTGTTAAAAACCGTATCACCGAGTGATGTGACGTCTCCAAAACAATATTTTGAACAATGTGCCGCTGATAAAATACACGTGTTGTAGTCAGTCGATGAGGCAAAGGAGGCGTATTTGGAGTGCTGTAATTACCGAAGCGGATTGGACTGAACTTAACGTGAGTCCGCTTGTACAAGCGGAGAGTACGAGACAATACGGAAGTTCCAGGCGAACCTTCGCGTTTATATTCGTGATCAGGATCTTTCCGTAATCCGCGCTGTGCCTCAAGTGGTTTCGAGAATTGGTTCAAGTCCACTCCACTTAGCAAATACCCCATAAACTTCTGTTGGAGTTGGCAATTATATCGCTCCAAATTCAATCGTGCATCTCTTTCTCTTTCTCTCTCTCTCTCTCTCTCTCTCTCTCTCTCTTTCATTCCGCGATATAAGACAATATAACGAACCTATAGTTAGTCACATTTAATTGTAAACTAATAACTTTACGATAAGTCTACATAAGTCTTCAGAGACTAAAGAGAACACGAGTCATCTTAGAATTTATTATACTCCTGAACTTTTAACGATCTGGTACTTTATGCGTCTCGGCCTTTGTTTTTATAGAGTATATTTATTTATATCGTTTATGTTACGCGCGGAATTTACTTGAAAACATAAACAGCGTGAACTTTAGTCAAGAACATATAGCACAATATAGCTATAACCATTTTGTAGCGGTATCCCTTGAAATTGTAAGTTATAGAGCTTACGCTCTGAAAAACGTAATTCAATTCACTTACTTAACTGGTCTAGACTAAAGAATGTAGCCACATTATCTTTATTGCCGATACTGCGAAAAAAAGTATTCCCATCAACGATTGCGAGAAACTTAATTCGACTATCATCGGTTCGAACAATGAATCATATTAAATTATATTCTAGAATTCTAATTAAGAACTTTAAGCACAACATCTCTTACTATTTAGCCTAGTTTTCTCTTTTTACTGCCGATTTGAAATTAATATGAAATTAAAATTTGTTTAGCGATAACGGTATAAGTACTTTTTTAAATTAAAAGTTGAAAAAATGTATTTCGATTACTATTAATTATAATTTTCTGCAGCAAATAAGATTTTTAACGTTGAATATTTTGCTAATATTAAGATTACTACCTGGGGGGAAATCAGGGAAAATTCTTGGCTTTGAAATATCCTACGCAATTTGAATAATTAAAAAACTTAAATAATTGAAAAACTTAAATAAATAAAAACTTAAATTTTGGAATACAACTTAATAAAATGCAAGCAATGTCATCATTAATAATAGTAATTCATATTACTATGTTAAATTAATTTCTCAACAAAATACTTAACGGTTTTCAAATCAAGACGAAAAAAAAACATGAAAATATTGGAAGTCAAGAAAAATATGAAATTTTGTCTGGGAATCAGGAAGAAGTTATAGAATTTTAGGACGAGAAATTTGTGAAAAACTCTAACAGTATTTTTTATTTAAAGTTAGAAAAATTTAATTAGACGATTATTAATTATGACTTCCTGTAATCAAAGATATTTTATTACGCTGAACATTTTGCTAATTTATACTCGAGGGGATAACCACTTAATGTAATCGTGGGACAGAATCCTCGAAATCATTACAAAATTCATGTAATCTCTATGTATAATCCGATAATTATGCAACCGCAAGAAATCGTTGTATAATATTAAATAGAATTATATATTTTACTAAATGACTTTATATGTAGTGAAAAAAATTATTTGTAATTATATGAAATCAAATAAAATCATGTAGTCTGTTGGGACAATATTTCAACTAGTAATTACCTCCCCTCAGCATTTCCAAAGAGAGTTTACTAAAATAAACTCCATTTAAAATAATTAACTGAACGTATATATATAATATTTGTATTTTTGAAAAACAAATCATTTTTTTCAAACGAAGCTATTTATATTTCTATTCTTGTTAAAGAGAGAGACCGTATCTGTTTTCGACACGCGCCATCGTCACGTACGCCAAATGTACGCCCATTACCGAACGCAACCTGTTTGATATTCAATTTCCGTTCGGAATTTTATCTCCACGAAAATCGGAGCAGTTGTATCAGGTCGAATTAAAGTGTCATGATCCACGAGCGCGGCGCGATCGCGGAATAGGAAAAGGCGGGTGACGTCACGTGCGTTCCCTCGGCGGTCGCGGCACGCGCGGGAGGGGTGCGCGACTGGAGGGGGTAACTCGGCTGCGGGCAGGCCATGCCGAAGACTCGTTCCGACGCGGGTGGTGGGGTGTAAGAGGGGTCCAGGCATGGAGAGGGCGCAGTACCGCGCTATCCTCCGTATCGTTGACACGTCGAGCGGAAAGAGTGCGGCGCGCAAGAAAGAGATCGAGGGAAAGAAAAATAAAGAGAGAGAGAGAGAGAGAGAGAGAGAGAGAGAAAGAGAGAGACGATCGCGCGATCTCGCGCTCGCTCATCAATCGACACTCCGTGTAGGTAATTATCGTGTGCGAATAAATTAATCTTCAGTTTCGATTACGGTGTTCGTCCGGTGGAGAACTTCCGGTCCACGAAAGTTTTGAAGCGGCCTCGTGAAACGCGGGTAATTAGTGGCGCGGTTCACTCCTCGTTCTCGTATACTTTCGATAATCGATTATCGGTGATCGATCAATACGACGATAGATCATCCGAAGGATCGTCCGCGTGGTGAACGTTGAACCGCGAGTGATTTTTTGGTGAAATTGTCTCGTGTGCCTATCCCGAGGGAGCAGCTACGAGGGACGATGCTGGCATTCCTGTTCGCCGCGGCGCTCGCCGTCGCGAAGATCCACGCTAGTCAGGTGACCATGGACGCCAAGATACGTGATGACTCCGACTTGTCCCAGGTAAAGTGTCTCACGCCGGTTGTGCGTCCTTCCTAGACGTCGTGTCGATTCAATCGACGCGACGCGACGCGACGCGAGGCGACGACGTCACGTCGCGAATATGCGCCACGACTTGCGTGTCCTTGAACCGTCACGCAGGAACGACCGCGCGCGCGAGAGTTGCGTTTAAATGAACGAACGTGCACAATAATACCGAGTGCGGCCCGACGGGAAATTTCAATGCAGCGAACGCTCGTTGCAACCGCACGATGATTGTGAAACGTGCTCCATGGTATCATGAAATACAGCCGATTGCCTGTCGTTAAGAATCCCGCAGCAAAGTGTGTAATACGTGACTTGTGTGTTATTTAGTTTTCCGTGTAAAAGTGTAAAAAAATTAATAAACATTGGAAAAAATCCAATGTAGATATTGCTGAACAATTTGAATTTATTACAATTAGTTATTGTAACGTTGCATCTTGAAATTAAACTTCAACGCACCAATATCCGCGTTGGTTCTTTTTGACTTGGTTCTTTAATCTTTTTACTATTAGATTTACTCTCAGAGCTGTCATATTTGTACATTTTATTTACTTTTTTCGGGTAAAAGTAACATGTACTGCACAGAAAGAAGAATTTTGCTCAAATATCTAAAAATTTAGGATGTTTGTTTTATATTTATCACGCTGGAAAGGTCTCGTAATCTTTTGAGAGAAGAGAAGAAAGAGAATATTCTCTCGTCGTAAAGAGTAAAAAATTAAAAGCTCATGGCTATTAAGATTATTGTGATTATTTGTGTATTGTTATTCTTCTTAAAGTTGCAGTCACTGTAAATGTTTGACTTAAATAGTCTTTAC